TCAGCAGAGGACGCATGCATCTGCCGGGGAGTGAGAGAAAGCATCTCAGCACAGTTGTGCTGCGGCCCCTTCCTCTGCTTCTCATCCATCAGGACTGGGGCACACATGAACATAAACCTTGTATATTTTTCAGGTCTCAAGGGCCAAAATTCAAACTGCTGTTGGCCATGTGGGATCCAGCTTCTCACAGTGTTTAACTACTGCACTACAACCAGTACATTTTTAAAAATTATTTATTCGAATTTAAATTTACTACTGTTACTAGTACTGTTGTTTTTTAAATTTGCTACAGGGCACACGTGCTCATGAGAGACAGTGAGAGAGAGAGAGAGAAAGTGAGAAATCAAGCTGCCAGGTCTGGGCTTTGAACATGGTCACCTGTGTGAAAGTCTAGCATCTTAACCGCCATGCCACCTGCTGGAGCCTAGTTTTTTTCTTCCTCCTAGGATTCTGGGCACTTATGAACACACGCTCTGCATAGTTTTCAAGCTGCTGGGTCTGAAACTTAAACCACATAGTTAATTGTCTTAACCTCCATACCACCTGCTGGTTCTAAATTTCTTTTTTTAAGAATTACATTACTGGGACCACCAGTTGGCTTAATGGCTATGTCGCTGGACTCCTATGTATTTGACCATGGTTTGAGTTCCAGACCCGGTGGCTTAAATTCACACCAGGTGTGTGTGTGTGCATGCCCAAGATCCCAAGAGGAGAATGGAAGAGAGGGGATTGCTGTGTGGCCATTCCCCCTTGGGGGGGGTAATTTCTCGCTTTCTGTCTCTCTGTTACTCTCTTGTCTTTCTGGTGAGCACACACGCCCTATAGCAAAAACCTCTCAAAAAATTACTTTATTTTATTATTATTTTTAATTTGACCAGAGAGAGAAAGAGAAAGAAAGGGAAAGTTAGAAAGCAAGCCTCCAGGTCCAGGATGTGAACTGAGGTTGGCCACATGGGAATCCTGTCCCTTAACCACTACACCACCTACTGGCCCTATAAATTTTTTTTTAAATTTAATTTTCCAGTGGACACTTATTTTCACCAGCAAGAGAAATAAGAGAAAGCACTGCCCAGTGTAATGTGGTCACATCGTAATCCCTTCCATTCTGTTTCTCTGTCTTGTGAGGATTCGGAGCATGCACACACATGCTCTACATGTTTTCAAGCTACCAGGATTAGAATTTGAACCATGTGGTTAGCCATGTGGGATCCAGCTCCCTTGACTACCAACCCACAGGTTCAGACCCAGAAAGTAAATTTAACAATTTAATATCCCGATAGGATGCTTTTCTTTTCTTTTCTTTTTTCTTTTCTTTTCTTTTCTTTTCCTTTTATTACAGAGGGGGTGTGTGCTTGTTGGAGAGTGAGAGAGGGAAAGTAAGAAAGAAGTAAACACCCCACATAGGGCATGGTCATACCTCAATCCCCTTTCTTCCATTTCTCCTTTTAGGATTTTAGGTACACATGCACACGTGCCTGGCATGTTTCTCGAGCCTTTAGGTTCATTAACTCAAACCACTTGATCAGCCCTGTGGGATCCAGCCACCTTAACCACCAGGCCATGGGCTGGCCCTCAAATGCTCTTCTAATATAGGTAAATGGTGTCTATAACTAGGGGCTTATAATAATAACAAATTGCAGTCTGTATTAAACTAGCAAATAAGTCATAAATGTAAGTATATTATTAGTGGAGCTAATTTTTATTATGACTTTCAGAAAAGGTCTTCATGCTTTCAGGTATCTGTGACTATATCATGTGTCATTATAATCTGAGGATCTAGAACAACAGGAAGAAGTCTGTGGCAGGACAAAAGTGATTACCTAGGAAAGGTCATCTCTAGTGTCGTCACTGTTCCTACCAATTTCCTTAGGAATTTATTAATCCTTAACTATTTGTGACCAGAGGGGAGATATATCTTTGTTCTAGTGTATTATGAGATTCTGTAGCACTACTAGAGTCAGGGGCAAATTCTCTATTACATTAGACTTTTTGGTGATCCTTTATATACCATAGCATTAGAAAATAGGGACTCGCATGTGGCGTAGTGGTTACATCGCCGGACTCCTACACTGCCAACTGGACCTAGCGGCTTGAAACCCACGCCAGGTGCATGTGCATGCATGCTTCAAATCCCGAGAGTGGTGTAGGAGGGATTATGGTGTGGCCATCCCCCTAAAGGGTGTTTACTCACCTTCTGTCTGTCTGTCTCTCTCTCTCTGTCTGTCTTTCCAGCAAGCACATGCACTCTATAGCAAAAATTTTTCTAAAAAAAAAAGAAAGAAAGAAAAAATATATAGATATTTCTAAAGTCTGTACCTAGAAAAAGTTTTCTGTTTATTCACTTCATGATTCCATCTTCACAGAATTTTTATTAGGCCTTCTGCCATCATGGGGCAACAATGAATGTTTTATCAAATTGACACTTTTTTCACTGAATATTATGTACCTCAGTCAGCCTCACACTTACCAACTAATAAGTATAAACTATGGTTTTGGGCCAGCAGGTGGCATCATGGTTGGAGTGGCCAGATTCTACATGGCTCACAGCACTGCTCGAGTACTGGATCCAGTGGCTAGAAAAGCACATCAGGTGCATGCATGTGTATATCCAAATCTCAAGAGAAAAAAAGGGGAGAAGGGATTGTGGTGTGGTCATCCCTCATAGGCAACACTTTGTCTCTCACCCCAGTAAGCACACACACCCTATAGCACTTTAAAAAAAATTTTTTTTTGCCTTAGGGCACGTGCACTCGCCAGAAAGACAGAGACAGAAATCGAGAAATCACCCCCCAGGGGGGATTGCCATGCCACGATCCCTGCTCCTCTATTCTCTCAAGATCTTGGGCATGCATACACTTATGCCTGGCATGAGTTTAAGCCACCGAATCTGGGACTCGAACCGTGGTCGGCTATATAGGACTCCAGTGATGTAGCCATTACGCTCTCTGCTGGTCTCCTATAGTACATTTTTTTAAAAAAGAGAGAGATGGGGCTGGCAGGGTGGTGTAGTTAAGGCACTGGATTCCGACATGGCTGACCGCAGTTCAAGCCCTGGGCTGGGTGGCTTGAAAATCACAAGAAAATAAATTAATTAATTTAAAATTTAAAAAAAAAAAACCCTGACAATGTTAAATCAACCAATTGTGTATGTCTTATATACGAAGTACCGTATGTATTTAAGTTGTGTATTTTTATAAAGTGAAACCAAAAAAATTGAAAAAAATAAAATGACAATGAATAAAAAAGTTATATATTTCTATAGACAGTTTTCTTTAAAAATTAATTTTATTTATTCATTCATTTATTTTAATTCGACCAGAGAGAGACATGGGGTGGGAGGCGGGAGAGAAAGCAGCAAAGCAAGCCACCAGGTCCAAGACTCGCACCTTGGTTGGCCACGTGGCAGTGACCAGCGCCTTAACCACCACACCACCTGCTGGTTCCTAGAGACAGTTTTTAAGATATTTTATAAATTAAAAGGTTAATTTTATTCCTACTTAACAAACATCAGTCTCATCTAGGATGGAGAAGAAGGGATTGCAGTGTGGCCATGACACACAATGATGTATCACAAGTGATTTATCACTTTCTCTCTCTCCTCTTCCCCCACTCATACCCCCCTGCTCCACACAAGCTCACATGCACCTAAACAAAACAAACATATGATTCTCATCTCTCTCTCTCTTTTTTTTTTTTTTTTTTGAGAAGCTTTTTTGCTATGGGGCGGGTGCGCTCGCCAGAAAGACAGAGAGAGAGAGAGAGACAGAAAGCGAGAAACCACCCCCCAGGGGGGATGACCATGCCACAATCCCTTCTCCTCCATTTTCCTCTTGGGATCTTGGGCATGCACGCACACGCGCCCGGCATGAGTTTAAGCCACCTGGTTTAGGACTTGAACCACAGTTGACTACATGGGAGTCCAGCAACATAACCATTATGCTAACTGCTGGTCCCACAAATGTATGATTCTTGAGCAGTACAATATTAACCAGTGAGAACCCTGAACAAGTACCAGGAAATCATATCCTTGGCAAATCTAAAGGAAAAATGGCTAACAACCCTTTCATGGTATCACAGGGGTATAAAGCATACATGTGAATGGAGTTAGAACTAATGCAATTAAAAATCAGTGCTGAATTCTGTGGTAGTGACTGTAAATACATACTCACTGAATGTTATAGTAAATATTAGATTCCAACTTCATGAAGTCTTTATACTAGGCCCAGAGATACAAAAATGTGTCTGGGGAATAAGGGAAACACAGGCGTCATACCCAGTCAGGTGGTGCGATACATACAGGTACACAGTCCTATTAGTGTATAAAGCAAGAACAACTAATGGTACATGAAAGGAAAAAGTGGATTGGATTACTCACGGTCTTAATTTTTTTTAAATGTGATAGCGTTTTTTGTGACTTTGTCCTGTTTATTACTTGATTTTTTGGTTTTTGCCATAGGGCATGTGTGTTGGCTGGAGAAAGAGAGAAGGAAAGTGAGGAATCACCCCAGCGGGGGATGGCCATGCCACAGTCCCTTCTCCAGTCTTATTTTAGGATTTTGGGCATGCACACACCCTGTGTGATTTTCAAGTCACTGGGTCTTGGGATTTTAACTGTGGTCGACCATGTGGGGAGTCTAGCACTTTAACCACCACACCACTTGCTGGTCCACTTGATATATTTTTTAGGAACTTGTATTTTTCTGTTTTGTAAAGTGAGGTCATAAATTGCCCAGGGCTATTTATAAGTCATAGGTTAGTAGAGCATGCCAGGAGCTCCTATTTCTTTTACACTGTAGTGCCCATTAACAAACTACATTGAAAACCAAATGAATTTGAGCAAATCAGTAATATACTTGGTCTATTTATTGTGTTATGCAGATCTCAGTAATAGTTGTAATTACTATGTTCTAAATATACAGATTATAAAAATTGCCTTAAATACTATGAACTAGTTTTGATCAATTTAATATTCCTTCTTGTTTTCATTATCTCTTATTAAGGGTCAGCTGTATTTGTTGGTAACAGACCAGGGGTTTCTTACTGAGGAAAAAGTTGTTTGGGAAAGCCTGCACAATGTAGATGGTGATGGAAATTTCTGTGATTCAGAATTTCATCTGCGGCCTCCTTCAGACCCTGAAACTGTATACAAAGGACAACAAGATCAGATAGATCAGGTAAACTTGATTTGTCTTCATGTTGTTTTAAATGGCCATTCCTTTTAAATATGAATGTAGTTACCCAAAACTTTTTAACTAAAGGTTTATTCTTTTGAAATTTTCCTGACACTTCCTGAATAGGTAAGTGATCATTCCACAGGTACATTAATTATACACTTTGGGAGACCAGCAGATGGCATAATGGTTACATTGCCATGTGCTGGACTCCCACATAGTCAACTACGGTTCAAGTCCCAGACCTGGCAGCTTAACACTCAGACCAGGCGTGCGTGTGTGCATGCCCAAGATCCCTAGAGGAGGATGGAGAAGGAATTGTGGCCATTCCTCTAAGGATTGATTTCTCACTTTCTGTCCCTCTGTCTCTCTCTGGCAAGCACACAGATCCTAGAGCAAAAAAAAAAAAAAAAAAAGAAAAGAAAACACCTCCTCTCTAAAAAAAAGAAAATTATACACTTTGGATCAGAAAGTCAAATCATAATGAACTGTGAGGTCACTGTAAGGCGTGTGGATTTTATTCTAATTGCAGTAGGGAAGCCATGTGAGGTGTTAAACATAGAAGTGACATGACCTATTTTACCTTCTTAAAAATCATATGTTAAGTCCTGTAGCGTAATTTGTATAGAAGTTCTGAGTGCATAAAAGAATACTTGTTCAAGCCAGTGTTAATCTTTTATTCTTTTGTTTGGTTTTTGCTTAGGGCAAGTGCACTTGCTCTAGAGAGGCAAAGAGAGAAGTGAGAAGTCCCTCCTTCCTACCCGCAGGGTGGATGGCCACTTTCTCTATTCTTTTGGGATTTTGAGCATGCCACACATGTGCCTGGTGTGTTTTTCAAATCACCAGGTTTATGCCTCAAAGCGCACAGTCAGCTCTGTGGGATCCAGCCACCCTAACCACTATGCCACATGCTGGCCTCCAAGTGTTAATCTTTCTGGGATTCTTGTCTTTTTCTTTGAAAAATAACTGCGTTGTTCAACATACTCATTTTTCTTCAGAAGCTACATAAGAACACTGGTTTTTTGTTTTGTTTTGTTTTTAGGAGCACTGTTTATTAAATACTACTCAAGAGACAAAAATTTTTACTCAAGTATGTAACCACTATGTATAAAAATACCGGAACAGGGAGAATGAAGATAAAGCAGTAGATTGTCACAGCAGTCCAGTTGTGAGGTGTTAAGATAATGGATCCAGCAGTCAGTGTAATGGCTATGTCGCTGGACTCCCATGTAGTCGACCACAATTCAAGTCCCGGACCCGGTGACTTAAGCTCACGGTGGGCACGTGTGCATGCGTGCCCAAGAACCCGAGAGGAGAATGGAGGAGGAGTGATTGCGGTGTGGCCATCTCCCCTGGGGGGTGACTTCTCGCTTTCTGTCTTTCTCTCTTTCTGCTGAGTGCACACACCCTATAGCTGTGTAGTGCACACCCCCCAAAGCAAAAAAAAAAAAAAAAAAAAATCTGGAAAAAAGAAAAAGAAAAATTGAAGGAGAAAACTTTGAAGGACAAATTCTTGATATCAGTAAGACAGTCATGCTATATATAGTATAAGATCTATGGGGCCACCAGGTGGTATGGTGGTTAAGGGTGCTGGACTCCCATTTGGCCAACCAGGGTTCAAGTCCCAAACTGGGCGGCTTGCTTTCTCAATTTCTCTCTCTCCCTCTCCAGCTGGTCAAATTAAAGTAAATAAACAAACAAATACAATTAAACAAAAAATAATTATTAAAAAAAAAAGATCTCCACAGGAGGGGCCAGCAGGTGGCATGGTGGTTAAGACACTGGACTCCCACATGGCTGACTGCAGTTCAAGTCCCAGACCTGGTGCCTTAAAAATCATGCTGGGCACATGTACTTGCATACCCTAAATCCCAGCTGAAGAATAGAGAAGGAATTGCAGCATGGCCATCTCCCTGAGGGCGGGGGGAGTTATTTCTCACTTTTACCTTTCACTATCTGGCGATCTCATGAGCCCTCTGGCAAAATCCTAAAAAAAAATTAAAAAGAGAGATCTTCATGGGAACTGACTTTTTTTTAAAGCTCCATCAAATGGATAGTCTCAAAGGAATTGACCTTTTATACATCCTCTGATTTCTTTATTTCCTTTTGAGTTATTTAAAATTTTCTAATTTTGAGTGCAGATTAAGTATATGCTCAAAATAATCAACTTTCATTCAGCACTAACTCTTTTTTTTAAAGAATTTTTTTTATTTAACTTTATTTATTATATTATTTTCCAGTTTAATCAGAGAGAGACAGAGAAAGAGAGAGAGGGAAAGCGAGAAAGCAAGCTGCCAGGTCCAGGACTTGAACCACAGTTGGCCGTGGGAGTCTAGTGCCTTTAACCACCATGCCACCTGCTGGCCGAGCACTAACTCTTAATATTAAAAGTAAGTATAAGTTGGATAATACAACTTCAGACTGAAATGCACTACTTTTTTCATAGGTAGTAATCTTAGGGTGGGTGTGGAGAAAGGATGCTAAGTAATTGAGTATTACCATATGATGGGCTGATACTTTGGCTTGAGAAATTATCTTTTGAAAGATTATTTAATAAATAATCTTGGAAAACTTTCAAAAAATTTTAAACAGATTTTGTGACATTAAATGGAAAAAGAAAACATAGTTTCAGACAGTGGGAGATGTATTTGAGTTTGTATGTGAAGGTGGAAAAAATATTAGGTTGTTATATTTGCATTGTTAATGACAGTTATCTTCATGTATTGATACTTTGGTGATTTAAACTGTATTTATGGTTTTCTGTTTTGTCTGAATTGCCCCCCCTCCTTTTTTTTTTTTTTTATTGGAGATTTTTACTATAGTCCATGCATGCTCTCAGATATAGACAGGGAGACAGAAAGCAAGAAATCACCTCTCAGGGGGATGGCCACACTGTAATCCCTTCTCTTCCATTCTCTTGGGACTTGGGGCATACATGTACACACTCCCAGCACGAGTTTCAAGCTGCCGGGTCCAGGATTTGACCACATGGGAGTCCAGTGCCTTAACCACTATGCCACCTGCTGGCCCATTGTCTGACGTTTCTATAAGCATGTGTTTCTTTTCTGTTTGTTTCTTTTTTAAATTTAGCTTTTTTAAGTATCTTATATACGACTTCTAGAAAGAATTTCAAATGAGTTTTAAAAATATTTAGAACAAGGGAACCAGCAATTAGCGTAATGGCTATGTCGCTGGACTCCCACGTAGTCGACCGCGGTTCGCGTCCCGGACCCAGTAGCTTAAAACTCACGCCTGGCGCATGTGCGTGCATGCCCAAGATCCCGAGAGGAGAATGGAGGAGAAGGGATTGTGAGGTGAGCATCCCCTCTGGGGCATGATTTCTCGCTTTCTGTCTCTATATCTCTGTCTGTCTGGCGAGCGCACATGCCCTATAGTGAAAACCTCTCAAAAAAAAAAAAATTTAGAATATAAGCATCACCGAAATAAGTTAATAGCTCCCCAAGGGAAATATGAACAAAGGTAACTTTCGTTTTCATATTTTAGCTCTGGTATTTTTTTTAAAAGCCATTCTCCTAGCTTTATAGATAACGTCTTTATTTGTGTTCATTAGTTCTTCGGTAAGACTTAATTGCTAAAGATGGTTATAATTTAATCTCTTAGGACTATCTTATGGCATTATCTCTACAACAAGAACAGCAGAGCCAAGAGATCAATTGGGAGCAGATCCCAGAAGGAATCAGTGATTTGGAACTAGCAAAGAAACTCCAAGAGGAGGAGGACAGGCGGGCTTCTCAATACTATCAGGAGCAGGAACAGGCAGCAGCTGTGGCCGCTTCTACTTCTGCACAGCCCCAGGTACCGACTGGGGTTCCCGCCCCTCACCATGACGAGCACTGTAGCAATAAAGAAATGTCTGCTTAGAGCTGGGTGTTGACTGTATGGTAGCACCCATGGATTTCATGAAATTGTCCAGTTTGTGACTGACACATTTCTCATTTAGTGCAATTATTTTTCCAGAAGTTCCAGAAGTAAAAATATTGAAAATGTATTTTTTAAATTGTTAATTGCTACCAATTAACCAATTTACACAAAGTCCTCTACATCAGTCAGAGAGCAGTATGAGGTAGTACTGGGAAGAATACCGACTTTGGAGCCAGGTGCACGTGGATTTGAATTTCTTGCTTCTGTGTTTTCTTCTGTGTTTCTCTCCTTTCTGTGTTGCAACACCTTGGACAAAGTCCTCCCCCTCTTTATTTCCTATCTGCAAAATAGAAAATAATTCTTAACTCTCAGGTTAGTGGTGAAGAACAAATACTACTCGATACATAAGCATATCTGACATGTCCTGAGTATCCAGTAAAGGTTAACAGCCTTCCACTTTGTACTTTCCCTAGTTAAATGTTTTCAGCATCTCAGAATACTAAGAGTAATTTCTTCCTGTGTATTTTTATTAAAGCAGGGCCAACCAGCACAAGCCTCTCCATCAAGTGGAAGACAATCTGGGAATAGTGAACGTAAAAGAAAGGAACCTCGAGAAAAAGATAAAGAAAAAGAAAAAAATAGCTGTGTCATTTTGTAACAAGTACCGGATTCTGCTGGAACCACCTGTAGGTCTTGAGAAACAAAACCACAAGAGGAAAGGAAGAAAGACCGATAAATACCGTCTGTGCCTGATTTCCCAATGGATTTTGTTCATGTTTTTCAGGGGAAAGGTTGTTACTTATTTACAATCAGACTTTTTAAAGTCACACAAAACACTCTGTGAGCTGGAGTTTCCTGTTACAAGTTGGAAATGCTGTGTTGTCATTCATGAAAAATACTGCACTTGTAGCCAAATAAGCAAATCACAGCAAATTTTGTGTCATAGTGACATTCATAACTCATATCAGTTAGTAAGCTATTTTATCTTCTGTCCTAACAGTGAATAGAGGTCATCGATTTAGTCTGATTCCTTCCTGAAATCTAAACATTAGCACAATAGTTTCTGAAATTTCTACAATGTTGAATTATGATCTAATCTATGAGAATCCAGGGGTTAATAGAGAGTTAAAAAGACAAAAAAAAAAAAAAGTCCAAAAATCGCAGGAATAAATAACCATTCATTGTATATTGAACTAGTTCAGCCCTTGAACAGCTTTGCCTTTCTTCAGGAACATACATTTTAGATATTATCTTGAGAATTGATAATGAAGCTTGGTTTAATTTAGATAGAAAAAAATAAATATTTGTATTTCTTTTCCAGTAACAAAAGGTTGCATAACACTAATACTCATAATCTATCAAAATAAGATATTAATGACTTTGTAGTATTGTGAAATTTTGAGGGATTCTGAAATCTTGAATATAGGAATCCTGGACCACACTTACTGTTATTGATAATGTGATAAGTGAGTGTAAGGAAGAGAGCTCAGAGGATGCTAGGCTTTGTAAATATGGGGATGTAAAACGCAGGCAGTTCATTGTCTGCCTTTTTCTAGAATTACCTTGAACCTTAAATTTTAAATCATGTTTATTGCTAGAAAATTAAATATACTTACTAAAGCCAACAAAAAGCACATTTCTGAAAGAAAGTTGGAAATAATGTCTGAGTCTCATGAAAAGACAATAAAGATCTTTTGCAGAGTAAATAAGAATTTGGAGAAATTTATATAAAAGCAATCAGATTTCTTAATTTATAGGAACCAAATAAACCTGTAACATTTTACAGTGCTTATAGGATTTCAGAAAGACTATTTATTTAACTTTATTATGAGGCAACACATATTTTCCTGTATTTCTAGATATGGTTTGGGAAACTATCCTTAATAGTCCTTTTTATATGCTTTATATTTAAAAGTTTATTTTAGCCCATTTTGAAAAGATTGTTGCTGCTCTAAGTGATTTACAGTCTAAGCCTCATAAATTTGTTTATATAAGAACTTCATAACTTGACCTGAGCATCCACTTGGTAAATGTCTTCATGGTCTAAGGTGACAAAAGACTACCAGAAAATGTGGTCTTGATTTTTTTTTAAGCTGTGTCATTACCTTTCCCCATTATTAAGACCAGTTAAAGGATGAGTCTGTATGTAAAAAGTCTTATTTATGGAAGGAATTATTCTAAGGGAAGAATTCAGGGTCAAGCTGTATCTTTCATTGCATGTCTGTTTTTGTCACCCAATTTGTTATTTCTTCAAATTTCCTACTTTACCATAATCATCAGAGAACCTGTGTGGAGCGTAAAACTTGGATGCAGAGTATTTGATGAGTGTCTTGATTTTAACCCAGAATATGTGTATGTTGGTAAATTAATCAGGTGTACTCCAGAACTTTCTGTTGGTTCAACAGGTTGATCTTAATCCAGGTTTACTCTTGATATCGCTCTATTGGTGGAAGGAGAAAACTCAGACCCCAGGGTTTGTTTTTCCCAGTACAGAGAGCAGTTACAGAACATTATATTTTATAAGAAAAAAATAATAAACCTTGAGAAATTTAAAAAAGCATATTTGAGGCATATTTTTCCATAACTATATTATTTTTTATTTATTACCCTTGAAAAATATATGTGTAAAAGTTATTATTCTGTTATTTGTTACTATCTTCTTACTTTGTTCCAAAGATAATACTGCCATTCTGCATTCCCTCTGGAAGGAAGGAAAAAAAAAAAACTCACTCAAAACCAGCAGTGCTGCTACCAGAGAAGTAGGCATCAGTGTATACTTGTAAGAAAAACTAAAAATGTTATGTGTTTGCTAATTCAATCTTTTTCTATGTAATATTTCCAAGTAGACTTTCTTACATTCCTGGAACTCAGTTTGATATACCAAGAATAATAATGATAAAATATTCACTTTCATTACTTTGGGGGGGGAGGGAATTAAACGTTCAATTTTATTAAAACAAACAAGCTTCTCAGAGATACTGGCTTCCTGTCTTTGAAGGTTATAAGAATTTAGAGCTTTTATGTCTTTATTTTCTTATATTTTGCTCGGAGTAACAAATTATATATTTACGCATTTTATTGCTGATTTGGGTACATTAGAATTTGATAATAAATATTAAAGTCTTTCACAGTATTTTATAATACTTAAAATTGTTACATGTACACTGCTAACAGAAGTTAAAATTGAAACATTTTTGTTTTTAGTATTTATAGGCTAGATTAGGGACATGTTTGCATCAACCATGTTAGAATTAGAGCTAGCAAAATACGCAAAAGGATTAATAGATATGGTCACTGCATTCCTCTTCCTTTCACAGCCTGCTCCTTAAGGTTAGTGTCCATTTTTTATTAACTATATGAAGATTTTCCTCATGTGTAATCCCATTGCATCAACAATGCTGTGATTTGCAGTAAATAATCACCCTTAAAAATACTTACTGTGTGTGTGTGTTTCTGAAGCAAGGCTCCATGACTGGGAACTTTTCCTCAAATATACGAATCACCCTTTTAGGAATACACACAGTAAGCAATGTGAAGCAGCTAAAATTGGCATTGGTTGCACATTGGTCTCGTGTGCTCAGAAAACCTAACTTCTTCCATGCTCCAAGGTCCGATTAGTAGTTGAGTAAAATGTGGATTTAAGTTTAGGATTAGGCTTTGGAAAATATCTTGGTTTTTAAGAATTTTTAAGAATTATTTTACTCAACTTTATTTGTTTTATTTTAAATTTGACCATAGAGGAACACAGATTGAGAGAGAGAAAGAGAGAAAGCGAGAAAGCAAGCTGCCAGGTCTGGGACTCGAACCACAGTTGGTCATGTGGGAGTCCAGCACCCGTAACCACCATGCAACCTAATGGCCCTAGGAAAATATCTTGTTTTTACTGTTTCGCTTTTTAATATTTGACTACTTATCCCATATTATGTTTACAATTCTTCCTTATGTGTCTTGATCTTAGCTGAACAAATTAATTAAATTTGTTGACTAAACTCAACATTAAGCATTTTGTACAAAACCTTAGCATTTCATTCTCATTTAATCATGAACACAGTTCACTAAGAGACAGAACGTCTCGAAATAGGACAGAAGGCAAATAAATATTTAAAGAAATAATTGTAGTCCCTATATTAATGTTGCCACATGAATCAGATGTTTGTAAAATACTGCAGAGGACAATCAAGAGAAGAATTTTCACAACTGTCCTCAAATAATCTCATTTATGTAAAAATGTTTTTAAATCAAATGGATTAAATTTTACTTAATTTTCCTATTCAATTATAAGTTATTTAAGAACATGATAGAAAGTTTATCACCTTTACCTAGCATACAGTACTAGGGCACACCACTTAAAATAGAACATTTACTAATGTTTAATAAAATAAGGAAGCATTAAAGATAGTCTGTACTTGTTTTTGTTGTTGTTTTTATGTCAGAGAGTGTGTGCTTATAGACAAGAGAGAAAGTGAGAAAAGGCACCCCCAACAACTAGACCTGGTTACAGTACTGCTAAGCTCAGTACTTAAACTGTTCTATGGGATTAGCCCTGTAATTTGCATTTAATGGGGACTGGGCCTGTGGAGTTCTGGATCATTTTGTTTAATGCCTGGCTTTCTACCTTGCCTTGGGTAAACTTTCTGTGCCTCGGTTTACTCTTTAAATATGAAAGGATTTTTGTGTGTGCATGCTTTGCACTCCTGAGTAAAAGGCATCTCATAAGCACAAAGTATCCTTACATTATCACAAATATTACACGTCCTCTATTCTTGATTGTGCAGACTTTTTTCCCAGCGACATGCTTCTTAGGTTTTTTATCAATGCTGTCAAAATGTATAGAATTGTCTTTGAGTATGCATCATCTCTTTCCCAAAATGTATTTTACAGCTGCTTTCGTGTTCTGTAGACTATAGGGCCAGAATCAAAAGGATCTGGGGAGTATAAAAAACACTGAAAAATTGATTTTTTTCCCAGTGTCTTTCACAGATCTAAATATTTAGAATCTTTTTGCCTGTCTTCCATGAAATAAAATACAGCGGCATCAGATTACTAATGCACACACAAACTTTTTTGCATGGCTGGGATTACTTTAGACTTCTCAAGTACTATCATTTTAAGAATATTTAGATTATTCGTGTTTTTAAGTATCAAATGTTATTTGATAATGTGCAGTTAAATTCCTTTTAATAAATGAATGAGAATGATAAAAGTACTCATTGGAATCTTGAAGAGTTCTTAGGTTCTTGGTAATTTAGTGTCTTGTTAGTGATGTCCAGCACTTTTTAAAGTGTTGAGAAAACATGAAGAATGGAGGTTGCTCTTTTCAAGTAACACTTTAAAGTAAACTAAAATTTAAAATCAAAGGTTTTCTGAACAAAATAAATCGTAAAATAGAGATAATGGAATGTGAGGGAGAGATTGTAGGGTTCTGGCAAGCATAACCTCAAGTTCTACCTAAATTTTAATTCGTGCATGTTTCCTAATCTCAGTGTTTCTGCTGTAAGGAATTAAAGTTTAATACATTGTGATATGCATATATGTGTATATATATTTTTACATGAACTATTCTAGTTAATAATTTCACTTCTGAACTCAAGAAAATTAAACTCGATAACAGGGTAAAATTTCCCGCTATTGCCTCAAGTTCAGCATCATCCTGTTATTCTGAAAAATATGTAGACTTGTTTACCTATCACAGTTTTTTGAGGTCTTTTGTTTGTTTTGGTTTTTGCCATAGGGCACGTGCGCTCCCTGGAGAAAGACAGAGACAGAGGAAATGAGAAATCATTCCCCATGGGGAATGGCCATGCTGTAATCCCTTCTCCATTCTCCTCTTGGGATTTTGGGCATGCATGCACACATACCAGGTGTGATTTTCGAGCCGCTGGGTCTGGAACTAGAACCAAGGTCTGCTATGTGAGAATCTGGCGCCTTAATCACCACACCACTTCTTGGCCCCAACAGGTATTTTTTTTAAGGTATGGTACTGTTCCTGGTGAAGTATTGATATACCATAGCAGAAGGAAAAGCCTTGGCTTGAACCACAATAGATTTAAAGAACAAAAACATGCAATAGGGTTGTTTTTGGTTTTTTTGTTTATTTGTTTTTTTACCTTATATTAATTCTGAGGATTTCTTCAAACTGCTTGATAACTTGTATTCTGAGGATTTCTTCAAACTGCTTGATAACTTGTCACCATTAATTTTTAGAAACTTTATATCGATCCACACTGTGAGATTCTGCTTTGAGAGGCAAGAATGCCTAATAGAGCGTGCACAAAGTGAAATTCTTCGGAAAGTGATCTTTGTTCCTTTAGCTCTGGTAGTTGTTATTTACTTACTAGAGTGTTGGGATACTAAAATGCCCACTTAAATTCTCAAATCAATGATTTGTCCAAATGGGCATTACAACTGAAATACCCCACAAAGTAGTTCTAACTAGTGCAATGCAGTTTAAAACTAAATTTGGTATTTAATCTCTGGAGATGTGTATTATATGTCTCTCAGTTTTGTCATGGTTTTTGTTGAACTTTTTTCATATATTAGTTGTATGAAATAACCATTTCTTTTTTCAGGGTACATAGGGTATCTTAGAAATATTTAAGGTTGAGACCTTGAGAAACCTCCAGTGGCTTTTTGTTAAAAGACTATCTTCCTCAATAAAATGACAGTTGTTTTTGTCACAGATCCACACAAGACAAGGACGTAACAGAAGATTATTGTATGATTTCTACACAAGTTTTCAGCAAAAGGGAAAACTCATTTGTGAACCTGCAGAGGTACCCCGCAAGTTATTTCCTAACGCTGGCGAATGTGAATCTTTCTCTGCGAACTGTGCAGAGTAATTAGGTTAAGGCACATATTGTGAAGAATAGCAAGTGGGATGGAATGATGGCTGCAGGAAGTAATCTTGAGATGCAGTGAGAAAGCGAAACAAGCTTTCCTCCTTCACTTTATTGTTGGATAATTGGGTCAAGAATTTGCTATGACATATCATAGATCTCTGTGTGCCAGGCCAAGACTGGCCCCCTGGCATAGAGCTCTCAAAGAATTTAAATGCATAGATGGTGTGAGTGCCTGTTTTCCTCTCCCTTCCCTTTTCTACCTTAACCTTTCTACTTTGGAGCCATTCACCTGTTCTGCTTTATGACCGACTTTAATTCAAATTAAAGAATAGCAACCCTGGAGATTGATAAGAGCATTAAAGTACATTTCTTAATAAAAATATCTAAAAAGCACCTACTCAGCTTAGGGTTGTACTGAATTTCTATGAAATTGTTTGAAATGCTAATTATGATAAAACTACTTAATTTTAAAAACGGTCTTAAAAAAGTTTCAAAAGTTTTACTTTTGGAAGATTCCTAAAAAGGCATGTGGAACATAAATGGGAAAGTATAAAAACATTTCTGACAATTATTCAGTATTATTCAACATTTAATTTGATGTTTGTTATTGTACCACAAGGATAGTGTCATTGTTGAATTAAAATGTTGGATGTTTTTGTTAATATACTTAAAACTGTAACCAGTGAATAACACCTGTAGTATTTTTTATTATAGATTATATTTTATTTCAATAAACTTTGATATTTAGACCAAACATTTCTTCTATGTTTATCCATCTCACTAAGTAAATTTTTTTATTAATAATACACAATTTTTAAAAATTTGCCAGAGGGCATGTGCGCTCACTGGAGAGGGACTGAGGGAGAAAGAGGGAAAGGAGAGGAAAAAGAAGAAAGTACCCCCATAGGGGATGGTCACGCCACAGTCACTCCTCCTTTCTCCTCTTGGGACTTAGGGCACGCACACACACGTGCCTGAGTGATTTTCAAGCTGCCAGGTGCACTTGGGATCCAGCTGTCTTAACCACTACACCACCAGCTGGATCCCACATGGTCAACTGTACAGTTGGAGCCCCAGACCTGGAGTCTTGAAAAACATGGCAGGTGCAGGTGCATGTGCGTGTGTGCCCAAAACCCTGAAAGGAGAATGGTAGAAAAGGGATTGTGGCATAACCATCCCCAGAGGGGTGCAGTTTCTTGTTTTCCCTCCCCCTCTCTCTGGTGAGCACATGTGCACTGTGGCAAATTTTTATTTTTAAGTTAAATGAATGGGGGGGGAAGTGGAACTGGCATATTGACTCACGTTTACCTAGGACTGACCCTTAGAAAATGTTTTTGCACACATGAGGGGGGAGAGAGGAGCACCCTCCAGTGTCTAGCCACTCTGTGATCCATGTCCTTAGATCCTCCTCCAGCCATCAGATCTTGGGCTCCCGAGCATGTGCCTGGCATGTTCCAGGGTGGCTGGGCTGCTGATTTGGACAGTGGTTGCCGTGTGGTGCTGGCTTCTCTTGAGCAGCACACAGCCACTGTGCCACACGGCCAGCCTGCATTTGCATCGAGTTCTTATAAAGGTAGGCTTCCCCCCAAAGGCAGTAAGTAAACAGCTGTAAATCACGTAATAGTCAACCACCTGATGCCAGTGGCAGATGTGAGAGCTGACACTCCTCACTTTTCCAGACTACACCTGCTGTCCACAAGCCACTGTGCCACACGGCCAGCCTGCATTTGCATCGAGTTCTTATAAAGGTAGGCTTCCCCCCAAAGGCAGTAAGTAAACAGCTGTAAATCACGTAATAGTCAACCACCTGATGCCAGTGGCAGATGTGAGAGCTGACACTCCTCACTTTTCCAGACTACACCTGCTGTCCACACACGTGGCCAACTGCACTTCTAGTCATGGACCTGGTGGCTTGCTTTCTCACTCCCCTCCCTTGTCAAATTAAAATAAATGGAATAATTCTTTAAAAAGAAAGAAAATAGGGACTGGGGGTTCCCCAGATGGCATGATGGTTATGTCACTGGACTCCCACATAATTGACTGCAGTTCGAGTCCTGGACCCAGTGGGCTAAACTTAGGCCAGGCGCATGTGCATGCATGCCCAAGGTCCCAAAAGGAGAATGGAGGAGAAGGGATTTCAGCATGGTCATCCCCACAGTTCAAGTCCCAGACCTGGTGGCTTGCTTTCTTACTTTCTGTCTCTTTCTCTCTTTTTCTCTCTGGTCAAATGAAAATAAATGAATAAATAATAAAAAAAAACTCACATTGGGCACATGTGCATACATGTCAAAATCCTAAGAGGAGAGTGGAAAAGGGATTGTGATAGAAATCACTAAGAGGAGAATGAAGAAGGGATTGTGATTTCTGTCTCTTTCTGGCAAGTGCATGTGCCCTATAGCAAAAGTCTCTTAAAAGAAGCAGGGATTGGGACCAGCAGATGGCATAGTAGTTACATTGCTGGACTCCCACATGGCCACCGTGGTTCTAGACCCGGACCCAGTGGCTTCCCACTCATGCTTGGTGCATGTGTATTCATGCCAAGATCCCAGGAGAAGAACGGAGAAGGGATTGCAGCATGGACAGTCATTGGGTAATTTCTTGCTTTCTGTCTGTCTCTCTGGTGAGCACACGTGCCCTTCAGCAAAATTCTCTCAAAAAAGATCCCTAGAGGAGAATGGAGGAGAAGGGACTGTGGCATGGCCATCCCCCCCTGGGGGGTGATTTCTCTCTTTCTTTCTCTCTGTCTATCTCTGTCTGGCGAGCACATGTACCCGATAGCAAAAGCCTCTTAAAAAAAAAAAAAAAGAAAAGAAAAGAATAATGTTTTAAGAATTATTTAACTTTTTTCTTTTTTTCCTTTATTTTTTTAACTTCAAGAAAAGCAGTTTTAGCTTTAATAAATCAGAGAAATGCTAAGAAACTTTGCTTAAAACTTAAAGCCAGGAAACATAACAATTCTGTTCAAATAGTAGGTGCATGAACCTATCGGCAGCTCAAGGCAGGACAAAAATCCTTAAAACCAGAAAAACAAAGCCTAGAAGAAAATCAGCAAAAAAAAATTTTTTGAGAGGTTTTTGCTATAGGGCATGTGTGCTCGCCAGAAAGACAGAGAGAGACAGAGAGATAGAAAGTGAGAAATCACCCCCCAGGGGGGTTGGCTATGCCACAATCCCTTCTCCATTCTCCTCCTGGGCTCTTGGGCACGCACACACATGCGCCCAGCATGAGGTTAAGACACTGGGTCCGGAACTCAAACCATGGTCAACTTCGTGGGAGTCCAGCGACATAGCCATTATGCCAACTGGTGGTCCCAAAAAATCAGCAATGTTTTAGTCAAAAGTCATAAAATTCTGTTTCACCAGTTCAGTCTTGTGTACTTAATCTATCTTCTGTTGTGGTTCCATCTTACTAATTAAATTCTGGGATATAAAATTCAACGCTAGACTTGTCCCTACAATTAGGTTGGCCATTTTCTTAGTTTTTGAACTCTTATTTCTGTGCGTCTGTATTTAATTTTTCTGGCATAACACTCCCTTGAGAACTTCTTAGAGATCTGATCTGGTGTTGGTAAATTCTTTCAGGTTTTATTTATCTGAGAATGTTCTTGTCTTTTCTTCCTACATGAAGGATAATCTTGCCGGGTACAGTATTGTTGGTTGAAATTGTTTTTCCCTAACACTTTGAATGTA